CAACCCGTGACTGTGCTATCTTGGATTTAAGCTGAGACTCTTTTTAACATCAGAGAGTCTCCACATCACTCGAGTCTGCTTTTCTCTGACCGCTTTGGGGATGCTGGCAGATGCAAGGAGGCGAGGGGGAAATGAGGACATGGTAGAATTTTAATTTCTTAGAAACACCTTGGAAGGGCCGATACCTTTAAAAAGGGAGTCTGTGATCTGGTAGGCATTTCATTGTTCTATCCACTGACCAGCAATAACATTCTGGACTAGGTCTCTTGCTTGCTGCAGGCATAACATGAAGAGACCAGGAATACCTGTCCAGGAAGTTGTTAGGGGAAATGAAATACAGATGGAAGCATTTTGAGAGAACTAAGCATGTTACATCTATGCAAGGTTTCCTTTCTTCTTTTTCTTTCCTCCCTCTTTCTCCTCCCTCACTGTCCCTTTTATTTCTTTCCATGTGTCTTGTATGTAGTTTCAATGCACATACAAATAAAGGCCTTCTCAATTTTCCATGCTGATATTAAGTCATGGTTTTGACAAACTAGATATCCCAGCAAGTCTGGAAACCAGCGCTATTTAATTTTATAATAGTGCTTTTCCCCCTCCGCTTTTCCTAATTAGTTTTGTTCAAGTTAAAGCAATGGGGTTGTTCCCTTACAGAACACAAGATGTGAGTGAGACCATGCTAATAACAAAGCTAGCAATTAATAGAATATTTATGTCAGGCACTCCACAAAGTAAATGCCATGCATATGATTGCAGATCAAATTCTCATTTTATTATACAGACCTATTAGTCTACTGTAATCAAGATTTGTAATAAACACACCACTAACACTCACATTTCCTGGATTTAAAATGTCAAGAGGAAAAAGGGCTCATTCCTGTCTCGTCTGGCAACTCTGAGATGGGGCAGTTACTCCATGCCTTGACCACCACTATATCCTCAGCACTTGGCATAGGACCTGGCAGAGTCAGTGCCCGATAAATAAGCATTGAAGAATGAATGAAAACAGCAGTGGGTGAATTGACAAATGAACTGTTCCCAAGCAAGTAGCAGATGTGTGATCTCACCCATCTTCACACCTACCGTTTTCCTACCCAGAGCCCCTCAGGAAGCCTCTCCTATCGCTTACAGCCTTCATCCATAGCTGAATTAGGTCCCCTATAATGACTTCTCATGGTAGGCAGTAGTTCTCCTCTTTAGCACTTAGGATAATGACAATTAAATAGGGATTTTTAAAACCTTATTATTGTGTAGGTATGTGTGTATGCTATGGTGTGTGTTCGGAGGTCAGAGGGTTTTGCTGAGTCTAGAGATCACCTGAAATGTCAGGCTTCTATGGTAAGTGGGTTTTTCTTTTCCCCACTGAGCCTCTCACCGGCCTTACTTGAAGATGTGTGTCTGCCTCCACCGTTAGATTGGGAACTCCTTTGAAAGAAGAGGCTTAGAGGGAGGGCTGGCACTGAAACACTCCTATCTTTTTTTTTACATGAAGGGTCTCACTATGTAGCTCTGGCTGCCTTGGAACTCACTCTGTAGACCAGGCTGGCCTGGAACTCACAGAAATCCACCTACGTCTACCTCCTGAGTTCTGGGATCAAAGGTGTACACCACCAATGCCTGGCTACTCTAATGTTTTTGACAAATCTTTTTTCATTTTTTATTAATTTATTTTTTACATTCCAATCCCAGTTCCCCCCTCTCCTCCCACTCCCCCAACTCCTCCCCTGCCATCTGCTCCTAAGAGAAGGTAAGGCCTCCCTTAGGAAGTCTGTTAAGTCTGTCCCATCATCTCATTGAGACAGGACCAAGACACCTCTCCACCCACCTCCCATGCCCCTGTGTGTTGTTTACAAATTTTAAAGGCACAAAGAAGTTGGGAAACTATATTATGATTATCCCTATTTCCTTGACTTAGAATCAACAGTTTTTCAGCACTATAGCCTCAGGTAGGTCTATGGAGTTTGGTTGTCATTTTTTTTAGTACATTTGCTAATTTTAGTGATTAAGGATTAAGGCTGAGTGTCAAGAGGAAAACCATGAGGTAACTGCTATCCAGAGCACCCAAGACAGGCATTCCAGACTAACTTTGTTTGACAGATGAAAGTATGTCTCAAAACAGACAGACAAACAAAAGATGAGTGGATAATGGTTACTAATGGTAAGGCCAGAATGCAGAAGCAGTGTTCTCCTCAATGGCAGGTGCTAACTTGAGGACGGCTCCTCCAGGCCAATCCTGGCAAAAACAAGTCTTGTAGTCCTTCCAAGGTCTTTCATTAGGTGCAATGGCTTAATGAAATGTAACTGGAAAAAGCAGTGTCTGAACTGAAAATGCAATACTGAATGAAAGGTAGATGTAAGCGACAGTAGATAGAACTTTTTGGTGACTGTGCCATGCCTTCCTAGTTCACGCTGGATGAGTCAGTCATGTAACCCCTAAAGAGCTGTATCTGCTACTTTTGGGGCTGGTATGGTTGGTAAGGGCTGGTCATAGTGTTACTCATATCAGTCAAACAAATATTCATAGCAATGGTGGACAGATGGTGCTGTCACTCAGGTGAGATGCAATTGGAACTTTCAAGATGCATACACACCCAAATGGAAGCCCTACCCAACTCCCACACCATTTTAGTACTAACAACATTTGGCAACAGTGACCCTCCAGTGACTCTGTGAAGACACCCGAGCATACACTACTCACAAGGCATCATGCCTCAGAGTTCATTAAGAACTTCTAAGCTTGCCACACATAGCCTGACTCTCTAGTCTTCTCTTTCCAAGTCCTAGACACTTACTCTTTTGAAGAAACCAGAAGCAACCAGCCACTCCAAGTCTCTTGAGTTAATTCCAGCCTCCCCTGGTGAATTACAACTTCTTGCAGACACAAAGGAAAGCAGAGAGACAAATGACACATAAATAAGAGCTTCACTGGTTTGGGGGAGGGAAGCACGGAGAGTGACGTCAGTTTTCCCAGAAACCCATTTATCATGATAACAAAGTCTCAAGTGCTTGGGCTGCTTCAGAATTTACCATTCAATTATGTTTTTCAGTATACAAGGTGGCAAGGCCAGCCAGAGAAAACTGGAACCACCCAAAGCAAATCAAGAGACCTTGAACCATCCCTTACTGCACCCCCATTTGCAGAACAAAGGTGATCTCTAGGTTGTCTAAGTTGTGTCTATGGTGAAGCAGCCTTGAGAAATGTTCTTCCTGGCCAACATCAGCCTTTCAGTCCTAATCCAGGAAAGGGAAACTGGTGAGGCAGGGTTGATGCAAATTCATTATGACAAGAACGAAATCACTAGTGTCATTTTTTTTTTGGTCACTAAGGATAAAGCAAGTGTGATCCAGGAAACTGATTCATCTATTTAAAACTATGGTATCTTTAAAATACAGATAAGAAAACCACCCTGGTTGTCCTCAAAATATTAGTGTCAATCTTGAGAAATCTCTCCAATTCCATCGTCATCAAGAACGGTCTGTTATCTGGCCCTGCCTTCCGCACCATGCCTGCATAAGGACCTCTGTGCTGGGCTGTACAAGCAAGCACTAGAGAAGATTTCACATAAACGACCATGACCTTCCAAAGCCAGACAGGAAATGGAATACATTTCTTTATCTGTAGAGAAAATGCTATCAGATTCTGGATTCAGATTTAGAAAACAAATCAATTGCAATTACACCAAATGCCTAAAGGCTGCTTCCTACTCTCTCCTTCTGTACTGGAGTCACGTTGCACACCTAGTTCTCTAAGTAAATGTGAGGTTACAAGGTTATCATTTTTCATCCAGTAGTATTTGGGGGTAGTGGGCTATGCTTGCCCTAATTCGACTTCATTCTGCTTCAGCTTATGGTGCTGGTGTGCTGGTGGAATGGAGAAACTAGATTGTTTCCCCAAATGGAATCATCTCCCTTTGTAACCAAACTTCTGATCTAAAAACAAATAAACATGGAGTCTCGGCTTCTTGGGTATTATTTCTCTGCACATCTCCGGCTGGAAAACTTTAGTTTTTAGAATGTTTTTTTTTTTCAGAGTTGGTCGCCACCAAAAGAGAGGGAACACTGCTTCCGCAGGTTTCACGCTATTTTCCCCAGCCTCTACAGAAAGATGTCAGTTCCACAGGTTTTAGCATACAAGCCCATGCACATTGAACCCAAGACCGACCCTCAGAGAAGTGCTCAGAAACCTGGCAAAATACACAGCCGGCCACCTACCGGCCCGGTGAACTGTACCCTCCCCACTTCCACAGCCGCACAAATGGGACCCTGAGGGTCTCGGCACAAGTGGACACCAAGGCATTCGTACACAGGGACAAACACCATGGAGGTAAGCACAGAGAAACAGGCCAGACTCACTCAGGGTCACATTACCCTGCTATGGACAAGGCAGGAGGGCACACATTGACACATACGCACACACATTGGTACACACACAGACGAAGTCACATATGTAATGCATATGGAGAAACCCTACTCTGGCCATTCATCTCCCCGCCCCCTCGCCCCACTCTGCCTTTGGCCCCAGGCTACCCCCAGCTCCGCGCCCCTCTTTCTGGGCAAGCTGGAGTCCCAGCAGGCAGCGTGCTCAGGGGTGCTGCCAAGCTTAAGGGGACAAGGATCTGGAGGGCTCTGTACTCATGCGGCCATTCATTCGGCAACGCCCCAGCAGCAGCGGGGCCGCAGCTGCAGCAAGGGAGGCGGAGGTGCTCACTGCAGCTCTCTCCCGCTATGCAAGTTCAGCTGCCCGCCGGTAGGCTTTGCCAATCGCCCCCCCCCCACCCTCCCGCCACCACAGGTCTCCACGACGTGCTAGGGAGAGAGGGGACTGAGCTAATGACCCTGGGAGCAAAAGTCCCGCCTTGCCTCTGCTCCTGGATGCTGCCCCACTGCCCTCCGCGTGGTAGTGGTGGTGGCTGTGGCCAAGTCTGCTTTTGGCCATCCCCAGCCCCCCAGCCCAGCCTCACTTCCCAGCCCGGGGACTGGTACCCAAGCCCTGTACTCACCACCTGGCGAGCTATATCGGCCGCTGCCATCGCTCCTTCGTCCGCCAGGGCTGCAAAGGGTGCCGCCGCAACGGGAGCTGCTGCACAGGAAACAGAGGAGCTCCTCCGACAAAGAGAAAGTGTTACACTTCGGGCGCGACCAAGTCTGGTGGGGGGGGGGGAGGTGCCAGGGAGGGGCCCCCCTCACTGCTGCTCCAACCCCAACCTCTTCTCTATCGCCCACCCCCTCGGAGTAGGCTGTGGGGGAGGGGACGGATTGGCCGCGCAGCCTTCCCCTAGGGCGAGCTCAGTTCCAGTTCTCTCTGCAACCCCAGCCTTGGCCTCCGTGAAGGGGGCGGGGGCTCCCCTCGGTGACCACGTCCTCCGCCCCCCCTCCCTGTTACCACTGTGCTCCGTGGTACGTCCCGACCTCTGCTGAATTGTCACACACACACACACACACACACACACCCCTGTTCTCCCTTACATCCCTGAGCCCCCAGACTCCAGCCTGGAAGGGAGTCCCAGCCCTTCCCCCTCCTTTCAGTTCCCAGGCTGAGATACGCAGTCCTCTCTCTTTTCCCAGCCCCCAGAACCTCTCGTGCTCCCCGCTGAGAACCCCAGGTACTTGGATGAGGGCACTGGCCTCTGGAGTCTCAATGCTTCACTGCGGTCCATCCCAACTAAGCAAGTTATCTCCTTGGCCCGGGAAGGTTGGGGGTGGGGGGCAGGGCGGCAGGGCAGGGGTTGCGACAGGACAGGGGTTGCGGCACCTGCAGCGCCACCACATTGGAGCTCAGAAATGGAACGTTAATCGGGGAGCCGCACTGCAGCCCCACAACTGAGCTATGACTTGTGGAGGACGTCTTTCCTGTCCCGAGGTTCCCAAGTCTTGGTTGCAGTAGGCTATAAAAGCCATGGAGTTCGGGCTTCCCACTACTGTACCCAATAAAAACTGACCTCTTTGGTTCCCTTCTAGTCCCTGCCCTCAGTGTGAACAGGGGAAACCAGGTTACAGAGCATTCAGCCTTCTAGGGTAGGGAGCCAGAAGGGAGTCTCAGAGTGGGAACTGAAGGTCTCTAGCTCTGTTGAGCCAGATGGAGATACAGGAGGTGTAATCTGTCCAGCCCCAATTGCTCCTCAGTCCTAATTCAGCCAAGGACTACATGGCCAGCCTGGAACAGAGGACCTAACATTCAAAATCTAGAACTATGCCTGCCTGCTCTCCTTTTCCTTCTAGCCAACTATTATCGCCAGTCCTTTCCGAGTCTCCAGCCCTGAAGTCCACACCTCCCTTTCTCTCTGTCTTGGGATTGGCTCTTTGTTAGCTCCATGTGATTGATGAACTTGGCATGATACAGTTTGTCAGAGGCCCATGAGGGACACCCCATTCCTCAAAATGATGGGATCTTAGGTCTCTTTCTTGAGGAGACATCACCAAAAAAAAAAAAAAAAAAAAAAAAAAAAGGAAACCTGGGAGAGGGTCTCACACAGAGGCCAGAGCTAGAAAGTATGGGGAGAGAGGAGGCAGGGAATCAAACGTGCTCCCCTGGTCCTTCCTTCCCCCTGGCAGTGAATGCGTCTCACGTTCTCCCGGCGAACTCTTTATGTAACTTATACACCTTGACAACAAGGACTCTATGAAACGTGTCCCCAGTGCCTAATGTGCTGTTCCACCAAGTGATTTCAGAACAGAAGAAAGTGGCATAAAGAGAGGACAGCAGGAGAGGCAGCCACGAAGAACTAAGTATTCAGGGGGTAAAGTGACACTTGTATTCCGTCCTTGTTCTAGAGATTCAGAGTAGGCTAAAAAAAAGAACGGTCTGGGACAATCAGAGACCACAAGGTAGGTGGTGGTGTCAAGGAAGAAAAGCAGCTGTAGTTTCTGAGACCTTCAGGAACACTTGGGGAATGGTTAGGCCCTGGACTGGTTATAGCACAAACACATAAAACCAAGGTTAAAATTGAGGAACTGCTTGGGACTTCAACCGGATGGGGGTGGGGAATCAGAGGTGTTGGCTGCCTCCAGGCTAGGCCTCCAGTAGGTTGCCTTGGGTCTTTCCTGACAAAGGCTGGGGTATGGTACGTGACTAAGGCCCAAACCAAGCTCTGTTACTGGCTGCACGGCCTTCCCCTAGGGCCAGCCCAGTTCCAGTTCTCTGGGAAACCCCAGCCTCCTCTGTGAAGGGGGCAGGGCACCCCTGACCATGTTCACCGCCCCTCTCTGGCTGCTACTAGACTCTGTAAAAGCTGCTACCAGGAGGGTTGAGCGGGAGGCCATAATGGGATTGTTGGGCTCCCCAGGAGTCCTACCAGCCGTGACCCCCAATAAGCACATCCCACACATTATGGAACAGCTCTGGGGACACTTCACCACAGGTACCTTGGTGTGCTACTGCCCTCAGCTGCCTGTCCCTAGAGGCTATCAAAACCCGAACAAGATCTCTTTATAATGCTGGACCTCCCAGCCTGGGATGGTGTGTAATTCAAATCTCCTGCAATGCCTTTGTTCCTTCCCTACCTGCTGTCTGTCTCTACAATAAACACACAGTTCTACCAAGGTTGTGGAAAGTGCCGGAAACTGTGCCTCTCAGTCTTTGGTCTTGGTCACCTTCTCAGGCACAGGCAGGCAGAAGGGTTGAGAAGAGATATCAGAGGTGGTCAGTTGGTAAGTTTTGCTCCTTCTCCCCTCCTTCTGGGTTGAAAAGATCTCCCTTCATGATAGGAAAAAAAACTTCAGAGGCTAAACTAAAAAAAAAACAAAACAAAAAACAGAGGTTACAGGGAGAAATGGGCCAGTTAATTTAGTTGGTAGAGCAGTTGCCTAGTACACAGGAAGGTCTGGATCTGGTTCCTAGCAGCACATAACTCAGGTGTGGTACAATCCCAGCATGCCTTGTGTTCTCAGCACTCTAGAAGTAGAAGCAAGAGAATCCCATATTCAAGGGTATTCTAGCTACAAGTTCAGTTCAAGGCTAGCTTGGGCTAAGTGAGATTCTGTCTCAAGTTTTTAAAAGGAGGAGGAGAAGGATGAAGAGGAATTTTTGAACTCCTAAGCACTACCATGAACACATGTGCACATGTGATGTGGTGGCCTTGTGGCAACCCTGGCTACCAAGGCCCAGCACAGTGCAGTGTCTGGCAGGTACTCAGTCAATGGTTGCTGAGTGAAGAAATTAACAGAGGCATATAAATGAGCTATTTTCATATTTCTGTTTTCCTTAAGGAAGTTGGAGCAAGCCACAGCTTCCTTGGGGTCAGCAGGTGACTGTTAATGTCTGTGAAGCCACAGTCTTCTGCCTAGGAGGGGAAATGGCTCCCCTGCCAGATAGGAATAGCTCCTATTTGGAGCCAACATTGACAGTCAAGCTTTACAGATACGACTCTGGCTGATAAGGTTGGGTGCTAATACCGAATAGGATGGGGGGCTGGGATGGGGACATAATAGTGACATGCAGTCAGACACTCAGGAAAAGTCATTATCCTGAAATTATCCTGAAAGTGAGGCTTTATAAAAGGAGAAAATAAGGCCAGCATAATTGGTCTCAGGTAAGTAGAAAAGCTTTTAGAATGACCTAAGAGCAGAAAATTGGAGAAGGCAAGAGCAGCATGATCAAGACAGCATCAACTGCATAAAGTCAGTTAAAAAAGCTGGAAGCCTCCCAGCACTCGGGAGGTGGAGGCAAGCGGATCTCTGTGAGTTCGAGGCCAGCCTGGTCTACAAAGTGAGTTCCAGGACAGCCTCCAAAGCTACAGAGAAACCCTGTCTCGAAAAACCAAAAAAAAAAAAAGCTGGAAGCCAGGAGTTGGTGGTGCACGCCTTTGATTCCAGCACTCAGGAGGCAGGCAGATCTCTGTGAGTTCGAGACCAGCCTGGTCTACAGAGTGAGTTCCAGGACAGCTACTCAAAGAAACTCTGTCTCTAAAATCAAAATCAAACAAAGAAAAAAGCTAGGCATGATGGCACATACCTTTAATTCTAGCACTCAGGAGGCAGAGACGTCTATGCATTAGACGTCAGTCTGGACTACATAGAGAGTTCCAATACAGCCAAGAATACACATAGAAAGGCCCTCAGCCTCCCTTTTGGGAGAAAGAGAGAGTAGTTAAGAGGCTGAGTCAGGATGAAGTAAGGATTCTTTTGTACATTAACTTATACTGCTCCTAGTTTGACTTTGTACCGCTGGCTCTCAAAATGTGGTCTTTGTTCAACAGCCTCAGTGTTATCTGGTACATTATAAGGAATGCAGTTTGGGACTGGGAATGTAACTTAGTTGGTAGAGTTCTTGCATAGCATGCACAAAGCCGTGGGTTCTAGTCTCCAGCATTGCAGAAAAAAAAAAAGATATGGTGATTTGTACCTATAAATCCCAACACTTGGAAGGTGGAGGCAGGAGGATCAGAAGTTCAAGATCATCATCAGCTACACAATGAGTCCAAGGCCAGCCTGGGATACAGGACACCCTATCTCAGATCATAACAAGAATATGAATAAGAGGACCTACAAAGATGGCAGCTAAAGGAAGGCTCCTCGAATTCTGAGTTCACTCCTAGGATCCATATAGAAGGAGAGAACTGAGTCATGCATTTTGTCCTGTGACCGCCACATGCACACTATGGCATATAGAGACTATGCACTCACACACACACACACACACACACACACACACACACACACACACACACGTGCCTTTTAAAGAACAATGTAAATAAGGAAGTCGGATGGATGGGTGAGCAGAGGCACTAACGACTTAAGTTTGATTTCTGGATTCTATGAGGTCATAAAGCTATCCTCTGACCTCCACAGGTGTGTCGTGCCACAAGTGCATCTGCACACACATGCACTAATATAAAAAGAAAGGAAGAGATGGAGCGAGGGAGGGAGAGAGGAAGGAGTCCAAGTTGTAGGTATAGTTCAGTGTTAGCATTCAGGAGGCCCTGGGTTTGATTCTCAGTACTGAAAATGAAAATAAATTTTAAAAAAGAAACAGGAAGAGAGCATTTAAGAAACTCCACATCTTAGAAGAGGTGGGAAAGGGAGACACTGGCTATAGAGACTACAAGATGAGATGGGACCAGGTCTGGAAGAGCCATGTTAGCGGCAGCAAGTTGCTTGGGCTTTCCACTCTAGAGTAGGGCGGCCTTGGCTGCCTTGTCTAAGGACCATGCCCTTTCAGGGTCTGGAATTGTGCCTGGCACAAATGGGATAAAGCAAATGAAAAAAAGAAGTTAATGGGCAGAATTTTCTCTTTTCTTATTTTTAACCGTAAATCTTTCCTAAATCTTTGACAGATGTTCCTGCTTATCAGCTAGCAAGCAATGAAATAAACGAATGAGTAGCAAATGAATATTAAACAGGCAATTCCACCACTGATCAAGCTTAATTCAACAGTTTATCTTTTCATGGACATCTGT